AGGATCTGGGTTCCAGTGAAGACTGGTCTGAGCAAGGACCTTGGTCACATGGGACAAAGAGGCCCCTCAGCAGGTACCACCCGAAGACCCCCAGAACCTACCAGCAGGTTCCAGCTATCACACTCCTGTGAGGGCCTGGGATCTACCTTGGCTACAGAAGGAAAACCATGCCTATTTTTATAGGTAGGAAACTGGGGCACAGAGAGGTTTACAAGCAACCTACGCTCACCAGCCCAGGCTGGGCCCTGCCTCTGATGCAAGCATCCAGTGACCCCACAGGGCTCCCCCTGCCCCTCCCTGCCTCTGCCTCCCTCCCTTGTTGCCCTGATCCACGACCTGGGGAGGAGCAGGCGGCTGGAAGCAAGACACAGCCTGTAGCAGGACAGGAAAACGACCAGGAAGGCCACGACTCAGGACACCGCAGGCGCGTCAGCCTGCTCGGAGGCCGAGATGGGTTCAGTCCCTGGGGGCGGCTTCTCTCCCGCATGGTGTGAGAAGTTCCACCGAGGTAACATCAAAGGCAGCTCTGGTTTAATTGTGGAAACGGCTTCGCACGGAGGCAGGAGCCTTCTGCGTGTGTGCGGGGAGTTTGAACTAAACAAACTCTGAGTGCAGCAAACACCAGCCGCTGAGTCAGCCACGTGAGGCCAGGGTGAACGGCTCAGTAGTGAGTCGGCCCTGCTGTCCTCAGGACCAGATTTGGATCAGGAGGCCCCAGCATCAGCCCTCTCCAAGCAGGGGCTGGTTGGACTTGCCTCTGTCCTGACCCTAGGCCAGGCGGGCTTGCCCTGTGAGTGGGGATGGCGAGTGTTTCCATTTGGCCTTGGAAAGTTCCTTGCTGTGTGGAGTGAGACACCAGTTTGCTGGTGCCAGGAAGTGGACCCGGGGGACACGCTTAACATGGCATCTTACAAGTGGCCAGTAAGACTCTGGGGCCAGGTTGCCCCTTGTGCCTTCCCTGGTGTCCCCGAGCTCCCAGGCAGTCTTTTTCTTCCAGGGATCCAACGTCTCTTGGCAAAATCCTGAGAGCGAAGGCTACGGGGATGCCCAGGAGGTGCTGCAGGAGCTGGGCTGGAGAAGTAGGGAGGGAAGTGGGATGCCCAGGGTGGGGGTGGGAGACCTCTGGTAGGCAGGGTGGGAAGGCTCAGCACAGCTGCTCCAGGTTCAAAGCCAACCAGGTGACAAGGAAGTGGCCAGAGGGGTTTTGAACCCCTCTGAGGGCTCCCTCACCCTCAGACAGAGCAGAGAAAATCCAGGATCATCTTTAGCACCCCACTAAGGGGCAGCAAAGGTCCCGATGGTCCCTCCTTCGGTGTCACCCTTACTTCTCACTCTGCACTCCCCCTGGGGTGCACACAACTGGAGCACCCACCTCCCCGCCCTCACACACCCTTTGCAGACCCACCCAGCTTGAAGGGTCAGTCCTGCTCACAAGTGCACGCCCTGTCCATCGAAGCCTCTCTGTGGTCAGTCACACCCCAGCCATACCTACAAACACCAAGGCAATGCATGGGCACTGCAAGGAGGGATGCAGCCCTCAAGGACACCCAGTGCAGTGCACCAAGGCAGAGCCAAGTGCCAGGGTGTAGCTTGGGGACAAGAGCCTGGGGACTTTAATCCCAAAGTGCTGGACAGTTGATTTTCATTTTACATCAAACGTGCATTTCTCTTATTAAGAAATGCTTTAAAAATGGGCATGGTGGCACTCGCCTATAATCCCTGCTCTCTGGAGGCTGAGGCAGGAGGATCTTTGTGAGTTCAAAACCAGCCTGGGCTATGAAGTGAGTTCAGAGCCAGCTCGAATTGCATAGTGAGATCCTAGCTCAAAAAAAAAAAAAAAAAAAAAGAACCTTTAAAATAATTACAGCCGACTACAGAGTAATTAAACAGGTGAAGGCGCCTGTCAGAGCTGGAAGCAAAGTTTTCCTGGTGCAGTGCCTAAGGGTTTTCTGAAGTGAGGGGTGTGGTCCTCAGGGAGCTGGATGCTCCCAGAAGGGAACTCACGGCCCGGAACCGAGTCTTCCACCCCCATCCCGCATCCCCGGGTGCAGTGAGTATGGAGAATACGGAAGAGCAGGGACTCATGCCGGAGAATACGGAAGAGCAGGCCTCACTGAGGCCTGAGCCCGGGTGCCTGTGTGCAGCTGGAGGGGCCAGCTGGGAAGAACCCAGACACAGGACATTGCTGCCAGCCAGTGGGTGCCACCCCACAGCAATGGGCCAGTGCTCTTGGCCTGGAAGATGGGCCTCTACTCATGCCCGGCAGCACACTGACATCTGTTCCTGTCAGCTGGCACACCCCAGGGCCCAGAGAGGCCCAGTCACTTCACTGAGGACACACAGCCTGGCTGTGTCATTCACTCAGCCTGGTTGCCACCCTCAGTAGCCAGGGACCATAGTAGGGTGGCCGAAGCCTATCAGTCTGGCTTCTTCAGGGCCAGTGTTGGGTCCCTGGCCAGCTTCCTCCTGGGCCTCCCTCAGCTTGGCCACCTGGGGAAACTAGGTCAGCCTGGCCAGGGTCACTTCACAGAGGCCTCAACACCCTGCCAGGGCATAGCACAGGAGTGCCCACCCGAGCTGCCTGCCTTCTCCTTCAGGGTCCAGGACCCACTGTTCGCATTCAGGCCACCCCTGTGCTGCAGCCCCGTTGCTCTCACTACAGCCCCCCAGCCTCCTCCTCACCCTGAGACGCAGGAAAGCGCGGGTAGGCAGGCCATGTTCTGAACCCCAGCCTGGGCCTGAGTTCCCGCGGCTGCGCTTGCCCTCCTCTGCCCTGGCCAGCAGGGGGAGCCCCCTCCCAGGCTGGCACAGGATTGGCTCAGGCCCAGAGCGGAGGGGAGGAAACGAAGAGACCTCTTTTGGGGGGTCCCCAGGCCGTGACCAGGGCTCCCAGTGGTGCAGGTGCCCATGAGCTCTGGTGGAAGGGCAGATGCAGCCCAGGTCTGCAGTGACATGGGGTGACTTGCTGGGTCTCACTGGGAACCCACCTCCCCACCAGCAAGTGCTCGGGCCGGGATGCACGGCCTTGGGGACGGGAAGTGGGGTGGGCGGGAGCCTCTGGACACAGCCACCCTGCCTCCCTCCTGCCGGATTTGGGGTGGACGTAATTGACTGAGATGTAATAAATCTGCCCTCCTGGCCCAGGCACTGCAATCCCTCCTCGCTGGGCCGGCCCACAGGCCAGGGCCAAGGCCGCACTGCAGGCGCAGGTCCCCAGGCCACCAAGCCTCACAGGGCCACTCGGAGACTCAATGGGTGACCACGTGAGTAAGGGTGGCTGGCAGGGTCTGGGTGCCCAGAGAAATGGCCCCCACTCCTGATCCCAAAGCAGCAGGAAAGCACAGCAGCTCCTCTCGGCTTCACCCACGCCATAGGGGCTCAGCTGGACTCAGCTGCAGTGTCCACAGAGGAGGTGAACTGACCAGACCCCTTGTTTTTACAGATGGGAAACTGAGGTCCACAAGACAGTGACTGGCTCAAGGTCACCCAGAAAGCTGGACAGAGCAAGTGACAAGTTCCAATCCTTCCATCTGTACCATTTTCCCCAAGGGCTCTGTCCACCCTACTGAGGGCAAGGCACAGTGTGGGTGTCAGGGCTCCGGGGTTCCTTCCCCACTCACTGGAAAGATGGGGAGCATCTGCAAACCCCCACAGCCTATGATGCTCCCCACTCCCACCTAGCATCTGGGCACCGAGGCCAGGTAACTTGGGGTCCTCCTGGGATCCCAAGCCTTTGGGGAGCATTTCAAGCTTTCCACGTGATTGTGAACCAGGCAGCCCCACAGGAAACTCAGGTGACAGGGATCAAAGCTGGTACAACAACCGCTGTCTGTCTTCTCCACAGCATCGTGCAGATGCTGACACAGCTGCTGAGCCAAGAATGGGGAACAAAACCCCACATGTCCTGAGCCCCTGACCTCCAGTGTTGGGGACACCCCTTGTGCTCCCGGCACTCCAGCCACCCAGCCCTAGCACAAAGGTGCCAGAATCCTCCTTCAATTCCACCCCAAGTCAGGGCAGTGACAAGAGGGGCACAGGTGCCTTCCTAGCCAGCCTGGACTTTTGAGGAGCTGTAAGTTGTGGTCCTTGGAAGGCCCCCAAGATTGGGGCTGGTATGGTCAGAGGGGGAGGTAAGGAGAGGGCTGTCCACAGCCCTCAGTCCTCTGGAGCCCCAGCTTCCTGGAAAGGCCTGGGGGTCTCGTTGGCCCAGACCTTGGGATGCCCCTGTTATTCTGCAGAGGGCCTGCCACCCTGACACTCAGTGTCCTGCCTGAGAGCCACGGAGCCCTCTACCCCAGGCAGGACCACAGTGACCACAGAGCCCTGGCCTGAGGAGGACCGGACATGGGGTGGGGTGCAGGGTGGATGCAAGGAGGGCAACAGTGAGGCTGCTCTTGGTTCTCTGTCTTTCTGGAGTCTTCTCATTTCTGGCTGGAAAACCCCAAATGCCAAGCTGGTGCCCCCGGTGTCCCTGCTGTCTAGGCTAAGGTTCCAACAACAGAGGTGGGCGTGAAGTAGTGTGACGGGGGCTGGTGTTGCTGGGTGACCTTGGGCAAGAGACCAAACTTCTCAGAGCCTCAGTTTCCCCATCTGTCCAGTGGCTCCCATGACCACCACCCCCTTTCCACAGAAGTTGGGGGGACAGAGGTGCCCAGCATGGAGCCTGGCAGAGGCACTGGCTAGGGTGGCAGAGGCTAAGGCAGGCTTCTGGGTGTTTTAGGGGTGAACTTTCCCTCCAGGAACCCACACTGCCGCCTCCACCTCTGGGCCACACTGGAGGGACACAGCCTCACTTCCCACATCGGGGCTCCCAGCCTTTCCCTTTGGCCCCCCTGCCTTCCATCCCAGCCACTTTGAGGGTGACCACCACAGGGCAGGTGACCGGGCCGCGTCCCATAGGGCAGGCAGGAGACCTGCCAAGTGACCCGCAGGGACAGCGGCGGTGAGCGCCCAGGAGGCGGGGGCTCCCCAGCTGCCCCCCTCCCGCGCCCGGCCCTTACCTTGACCGCGGGAACAGCGCCGCCAGTCGCGAGGACTTGGGCGCACGTGATGGGCAGCCGGGCCTGCGGGGCCAGGCGAGTGAGGCAGGCTCAGGGGCCCCGGAGCCCCCGGGGAGGCGACTGCGTGGAACGGCGGGAGCCCTGCGCGCTGCCGTGCGGCGGCTCCGGACCTGCTGGCTCCTGAGCGGCGCGCGTTCCTGCCGGGTCCCGGCGCGGGGCGCGCGCCGGCGGGGAGGCGCGCGCGGGCGGGGCTGCCGCGGGGGACCCAGGCGCTGTCCCCGGTGCTGAGGGTTCCCTGGATGTTGCGGGGCCTAGCGACCCTGTGGGAGGACTCCCTCCCTTATCTCCCCCACCAGAGTCCCTGGCGGTCGGTTTCCTCGGCGCTAGGATTTGCTGCGTGTGGGCAATGCCACCCGGGCCGTGCTGCTTCTGGGCCAACAGCGCTGCTGGAAGGTTGGTCCGAGGGCGTCCAGAGGCCGGGCACATCCTACACACCTAAGAAATGCCCCCTTGCTGTTGTGCATTTCCCTGTTCTGGGCAGCCAGGTGGACATGGAGAGGCGGGCAGGGCTGGTGGCACAGGCTGCCCTCGGGTCCCTGAAACATCCGCAGGTCACTTCCTCTCTCTCACCCCAAGTGCAGGTGGGGCCACCAGCCGGAAGTGAAAGGGAAGCAGACCTGCACTGGGTGTGCAGAACTTCCTGGCCACTCCACCTGAAGAGGTCCCCAAGGCAGGCCAGTTCCTGCAGACACTCAGAGGGGACTGTGCCACCGAGGCCCAGAGCTTTGAGAAGCCTGGGAGAAAGGCTTGTGTGTGGCAGTGTGTTATGGATTAAAAACCAGTGGTCAATGTAGTGCCAGTGAGTTAAACTGACATGGAGCTGAGCGTGGACAGCCCACCCGAGGAAAGCTGCCAGCATAAAAGGAGATGTGGGGAGGAAGAGCAAGGCATTGTGGGTTCTGTGTTGCCCACTTTGAGCCATTAGTTCTCCTGGAAGAGCTCCTCATGCTGGCCTCCTTGATATGAACTCACCTGTTATCATCGGAGGAGCTTGGACCTTGTCGCTGAGAGTGGCTGTGGTTCACTTTGGGGGAGCTTTGGTCCTTACATTGAGCATGAGTACAGAACCCTCAGCCTGCTGGCACAGCTCCTTCACCCCCCTGGCACAGACTTTCTAGCTCCCACCACTGACCTTTGGGCCATCCCAAGCAGATCCATAAAACAGACTGGCGTGAGTTCTCCTCATGGGCTCTGGACCTCCAGTTGGCCTCGTGGGGGGCATTGTCATGGGCTCTAGGTCTTCAGCTGGACTCATGCAGAACATTGCTGTGGGATCCAGCCCTTGTGTGGATTTTCTAGGTCTTCAGTGCTATGGACAGATTTTCTGCACCTTCTTGTATTTAATGCTAGGTGACCATCGTAGCATAGTATTATAAATCTGTGTCCTGTGTGTAACTGTTCTTGCAGCCCCTGACTACAACACGGTGGGTCAGGTCAGGAGCCGAGACTGGGCCTGGCAGACAGCAAAGTCTGCCCCTCCTCTCATCTACACCAGGTTCTGTGTAAGCAGCTGCATCCTGGCAGGAAGAAGCTGGCTTCACCTCTGTTCTGCAGAGGAGGACACTGGGAACTCCCAGAGCCACTCTCCTTGGTGCAGGTTGGTGGACAGGGTGATTAGCAACTCACCCCAAGTCTCAAGACAGCAGTGGGTGGGAATCCACCCCCCTCCCCAGACAGACACCCAGATGGATAGCTGCACGGTCCAGCCTGCTGCACACACACACACACACACACACACACACACACACACACACACGCTACCCAAGGAAAGACTCCTGCTGACTTTCTCAGAGCCGGTCAGGTCACTGGTCCCTGAGAGCTGCCCACAACAAACAAGGAAAGCCCCACGTTCCTCTTAACTAACGAGAAGAGCAGGTCCTCCCCGTCACTTCTCCACCCTTCCAGGCAGGATAATTAAGCGTCACTTGCCTCATTTCCCAAGGGACCAGGTTCATTAATTAAGTGTGTGAAGGGCCTGCCAGCTAGGTCCCTATCACATGATAAACACCACTCATTGTGTGCTTAACGTGAGGTTGAGTGCACTGAGCATTGTCCCCTGTGATCTTCCTCATCTGCTGAGACCCACGTGCAGCTTTCCTGATGCAGCAGGGAACAGCACCAGGGTCCAGGCGGTGCACCTGAGCAGAGCCCTGTGCGCTCTCTTCCGGCAAGATCTTCCACTCCCTGCACTGATTCCATCTAGAATAAATGACACGGACAGTGACAGAAATTCCATTCAAGGGGAGAGAAGAGGAGAGAGTGAGCAAATGGTCAGCCGATGGACGCCCTAGGAGTCAGCCAGGGACCCTTTAAGCCAACATTTTCAGCCCTGATCCAGGAGTTTCTTGCTCCAGGATTGCTTGGATCTGGGCAAATGTGTGCCAAAAGTGCCAAAAGTGACTTCAGCACCAAACCTGTCTGCCACCAGCTCACACTTCCTGCCCATTGGAACTTCACAGGCTCTGGTCAGAGCCCTCTTCCCCGGCAGAAGCGCTGGGCAGCAGCTCCAAGCCTCTCCACACCACAGCGGGGCAGAGCTCTGCTCCAGTGCCAGTGGTGGCTCCACCTGCTTTCAGTGGAGCCTGTTTTATTTAAACCAGGGCCAAACGGTAACAGGGAGGTACAGGGACTCATCCAGGGTCACACAGCCAGCAAACAGGTGACTGGGTGGCACAGGTGTCACTTGGGCTAGGATGCCAGGTGGTCACCATCAAAGTGATTCTTCAGGTACAAAAGCATGCTCTGATTTTAAGCAAAAACTTATTTCTATAAATAAAAGAGGAGAGCGTCAGAAGAGGTGTCGGGTCTGACTTCACTTAAACAGTGCCTCTTCTCGCTGCTCCAAACAGCGAGAGGTCCCAGCTCCCGCGGAGGAGCGGCTCCCCCATCCCTGCAGGGTTGGCCAGCGAGACGCATCCTTCCTGGACACCCGCTCTTCAGTTGCGTGGCTTCTCCGGTTGGCGTAACCTACTCTGCACGGTCACCAGTGTCTCTCCGTACAGAGTGGCTCGTCTGACAGATGGCTACCTTGGTTGAAAATTCTCCGGCATATTGAAACATGGGTGGCACTCGCGCTTCACTCCAGGTAAACAGGGCTTTCGCAAGCTCAGCCTGAGGCTGTACAGGATGGACCCTTGTGCCAGCCTGATGGTGGTGGCAGTGGCAAGGGTGACAGCTTTGGGGCTGGGAGATGGCAAGCTCCCAGGGAAGTGCAGTGTCAAGCATCCCTTTGGTTGGGGCCGAGGCCATGTCCCCATTGCTGCTCCTGACCAGTCCCTGTCTGCAGAGACAGAGAGAGAAACAGCACTCTGGGCACGACCCCAACAGGCAGGGCAGAATTCTTCCTTCCCGGCATCCTCGAAAGGGGTGAGTTCACCATCTGCAGCCTGTCAGGGCAGAGCAGGCCTTATGCTAGGACCAGCAGTGGTGACATGTCAGAGAGTGGCCTCCGCCCTGCCTCAGTGTGGGCCTTGGGCCTCTGCCCTGAAGAGATGCCATGCTGGGTGTCGGTGACACAAAGCACTCTGGTCCTTACACAGTCACCATGCCTCAGGCCTCAGCTCAACAGGCTCTGGAGATCAAAGGCTTCTTTTCTTTGTCCTGTGCAGTGGACCCAGTGACAGATCCACTGATGTCCTGAGCTTGTGCTGCCCAAGTCCACGCCAGCTCTCCAGCCCACTCCCCTGCAGTGGAAGTAGAGGTTTTCACACTGTACAGAGAGAGGGGCCAGGTGATGTTCACAGGTAGAAAGGACACATGGCATGGAGCAAGGGCTTTGAAAGCAGGTGTCTTTAGGCATGACCAGGACAGCATGTGCCAGTGGGCAGGAACAAGCGAGAAGATCAGACCCCGAACATGTGGGAAAACAGGGTGTTGGGCACAGGATGGGCGTGGGGGCTGGATCCTGACCACGTCCCATGCCCAGGGAAGCCCTGGTTTGTGAGGTGCACCATTGCCCTGGTTCCCAGCTGCAGCCTGTCTGTCAGAAAGGCACCTGGCGGTGGCGTTTAATAACTACCACCTTTAATGACGTTGTGACAGCGAGCTTGATCTGTGCAGTCTGCAGGAATCACTGCTGATGGATAGGGAGGAGATGAGCGCTTGGGTGTCGGCCGTGGATCATTCTGACAGACAGACAGATAGACCATCCCCGTGGAGAGGAAGGGACAGAGGCGCAGAGGGCGGAGGGAGGAGGGTGGAGGGCGGACAGAGAGGGATCCTCGTGGGACACCGTGGCACCTGCTGTCCCCAGCCATGAATTTCTTCCTCCTGCTTCCTTCCTCGTTCCCTCCATCCCTTCCTCAGCACACATTGTGGGACAGAGACCAGGGTGAGCACCTGGTCCTCTTGGACTCAGAGCCAGGGGAGGCTCCAAGGTCTCCCGAGCTGGGAGCAGCAGGAGAGTGACAGGTGACATGCATCACTGAGCCCTCTTGACAGCCTCAAGACAAGCATTTGTCTTTCACCTACCATGTTTCAGTGACACATTGAGACTCAGGGAGGGGACATGGCCCACTCAGGCTGCATGGTGCCTGGGACCCATTGGACCCTGTCCTGTGTCCGGGGCATGGCCTCTGTCACACTGCACACCAGACATGAGAATAGGAGGCTGCTGAGTGGATTGCAGCCCTGGATCACTGTGATCCCTGCAATCTCGCTCCTCGTCCACCTGGCATCTCATAGCACAGCCTTGTGCTGACCTGGAGACAGTTCATTTTAATCCAGATGAACACAGAACCTTTTCACATGCCATGCCAGCCTGGAGCCAGGAGCCTGGGGTCCATGGGGCCAAGCTCCTGCACCGCCCACGGGCCACTATACTGCCAAAGACCCGCCCAGACACAGGAGCTCCAGGTGCCAATAACAGAATGAGGACTTGTCCACTGCGCCCATCAGACCCTATCACTGACTGCCACTGATGCTAAGCTGATGATGGCACATGTGGACTGGGAGAGGGGGAGGGTCAGTGAAAAAACCATGGGGTCGGGTGCTGGGAGTGGGGAGGAGCCAGGGCTCTGGCACTCCTCTCTCTGCTGGGCCTGGCACCAGTGCCTACAGCCATTTGTTGAGTGAATAAATGATGTCCATTCCCTAGGCACTTGCCTGAAGCTGTGTGGC